TCTCAGACTGCCCAGGGAGAGCAAGGGGATGATCAGAGACCCAGCAGGTGCGCAGGTGTAAGATGCAACGCCAGTGAACGCAGGTTTGCTGACTGCTTGCCATGGAGGTCGCCTGCAGAGGAGTGGGGCCAAGCAAAAATGCCTGGAGAGAGTATCCAGCGTGGCCCGGAGAGACAGCAAGTGTCCAGAGGGAGAGTGTCATCTCCCACAGCAACTGGGAAGGATGTGACGCTCAAAGAGAGAGTCCAGCATAGCCAGCAAGTGTCCAGAGGGAGATTGCCGTCTCCCATAGCAACCGACAAGCTGCAAAGAAGATGGGGTTCAGCTTAACCTGTGTAAGCTTCGTCGTGATCTGACAGAAATTCCTTTAACCTCCCTGGCGGTAATCCCGAGTCTGGCTCGGGGTGAATTTTCAATGCTAGGAGCGGTAACCCTGAGCCAGACTCGGGGCTGCAGAGAAAAGTGACACTCACCTTGTCCCTGCGAGCCCGTGGCGTCCTCTGCTGTACGCGGCCCGAAAATGAAACTAAAAGCCGGCATCTGACTTTTAGTTTCGTTTTCGGGCATCACAGCGGGCGGGAAATTCAAAAGTGAAAAGTTGTAATGTACATAGAATACACACAATACAATGTAATCTGCTATGATTACACTTATGTATCAAACTATTGTACCGCTTTTGGTACAAAATTCCTGACATAATCATACCGCCAGGGAGGTTAAAAGTCTGCCTGCACCTTGCGGAGTGTGTGGCCAGTGGGGGCATAATATGGTGACATGCCCTGAGCTGTGGGGTCCACCACATCAGTCTCCCTGTCTGGAGTGTGGCCAAAGAGGGCATGGTATTGTAACGTGCCCTGTGTTTATGGTGTACCCCTGGAGATCCTGGTGGGCATGAGAGGGAACCTGCATGCCCAGGGTCTGGTGATATGTCTGCAGTTGCCTCTAGTAACGCAGGGAAAAATTCCAGGAGCCTGCAGGGGGGCGCCAGAGAGAAGTGGACAGTGTTGGCACTAACCCAGCGCTCTCAAGTGAACACAGCCAGATTGCCTGCAAGGGTTAGTAAGACTGACTTGTATGAACTGTCTTCTAAAATTGGTAACACAGTCAAGAAAGAGACTGAATGTGACTCTTTTCATTGTGAAGTGGGAGTGAACCCTGTTGGGGGACCCGCTGTAAGGAGAGACTTGCCTCTGCATAATGCGTTATGTAGTGGAGAAGCAAAAGTTAAAAACCAATGTGATGTGATATATCCTTCCAATGCAAAGGTTGATATGAAGCTTGTTGCGGGTGGGAAGGATAACACTGCTGAGTTGAGAAATGTCAAAAGTGTTAACAGTACCCGTTCTCATGTGCTATACGCCAATCATGTTGAAAATATGTGGTCTCTAGTAGCAACCAGGAGGTGTGGAGCAGAAATATCCTTGGAAGCCTCATTGGGGCCTGATCAGTTGATGGCAGAGGTTCCCAAAGATAATTGTGGTACCGGCCTGATGGGTCACAATGTGGATGTATTGAGTGACCATGCTCAGGGGGAATAGGCTCACAATGATAAGGATAATTATGGGTTACTTGCAGAGCCACCAGCTCATTATGTGGGAAAAATGGTGGACGTAACAAATGAAAAAAATGCATGTCTGGAGGAAAATGCATTGTTTGCAAACAGGGTGGGTGCAACAGAACAGTCTTCGGAAATCTCAGTGAGGTTCATGAGCTTAGAGCCAGAGATTCCCCAGGGTAATTGTGGTGCTGGTTTGAGGTGTCACAGAAACATGTTGATGCAAGGGTTAATGGCAGAGCTGACAGCTAAAAACGTAGAATATTCAACCATACCACTGACTATGATCGAAAGTACAAGGGTTAATAATGAAAGTGTTGATAGGTGTACTCAGGATAATATTCAGCTGGGTGATGTGGTGCCACCAGCTCAAAGTGGTGAAAATGAGGTAAAGCAGCAGGATGTGTCTGAAGACAGGGACACCCCATTGGTTGTGGTAACTGAGGAGACCATGACTAATACTCAGCCATTGGTGTCTCCTTGGAGGGAGCTATTGGAACGTTGTGATACCTTAGACTGCAACACAAACAACATAGATTGGGATAGGTTGGGTAAATCTTTGTTCCCTATAGGGGGAGATGGGTTATCCGAGGCCGTGGAAATAAACAAAAGTGGTGCATTGCCAAACACAGTGGAAACAGATGAAAATGGTGTACTTGTGGTAATTTATGATCCTGTGTTAGACCGTGACGGGGCGCACAAAATTACTGCTGTTTCAGACAGAGGGGCTACTAACCAGCTTATGGAAAAGGACGCGCATGCTGCAGCAACTGATTTTCCTCACCAGACGGTAGGGCCCAGTAGAAGTGAGAGAACAGCAGAAATCCTGTATGACACCCCAGATATAAACAAAATTGATGTGTTGCCAAGTAGAATTGACCTGAAGGGACAGGTTACTGTAACCAACTTGAAAACTAATAGTAATGGAACGGATGATGCTGACATATGTGGTTCTCTATCAGATCTAGTCTGTAATAACCTTGGAGATTATGATTTGGTTGTAGGCAAAAAAGACCAGGGGTCAGAACAGTTGCCAGTGGAGGTGTTTTGCGAGGCTGCCGCTGGAGATGACTGATCCACGGTATCCGTGTCCTCTGCAGACACTGCAGACACTGCCCTGCCCAACCAATACATTAGATATTAGAGGGTTGAAAACTGTGTCATTGATGGTTCTGAAAATGATGAAATATGTGGTCCCTGGTCACGTGTTGTGTATGGTGACAAACGGAATGCTCTTATACCTAATAGTGGGATGGTTGCCATGAGCAATGACAAGAACACTAGTGTGAAGTGTATCACAAGTGAAACTGCAGATAAAGTAGCAGCATGTGACTGTAGAGACCATGGGGACACAAGCAGCAAAGAGACGGAAGAAGTTAATAAAGAAATGGACGGCCAGGAAATTAGTGGTGTCAGAATAGAGACAGCTGACCCAGAAATGGATTATATCTGCACCAAGACTGCAAATGGACATAGTATCGAGTCAAGGGTGACCACACTGAGACTTACGGTAAACAGAGTGAGGCCCGGAACAGGGATGATAGTTCCATAGAAGAAAGACAAGAAAGACTGGTCTGACCCCATTTAACGTAAATGACTGTTGCTGGAGGAAGTATAGACGAAAAATGGCAGGACATGTCCAGATGAAGGGTCAGGGTCTATGTGTTTGCTCCTCCGGATCAGAACAAAGGGGGGGGATATGTGGTATTGTGTGGCAATACCACAGTAAAACTGGGTGTTGAAGTCACCCAGGACTCTCAGCCAGAGGGGCTGAACAGTTCCAGGACACAAAATATTTCGCTGGGAAAGACTAGCTTTGCGGTTCTCTCCAGGTTTCTGGATTTGGCATGGGATTCTGGAACTGGGAGATTTCTAAGAGAATTGAGAGGGATGAAATCTCCATTCCTGGGTCCATTGTTTAGTAGTGGCCAGCACCTAATTGCACACCTGTGCACAGCACTTATGGGAAGGATGCTGGCTAGTGTTCAGGGCTCCAGCTGAGAAGAGGAACAGAGGTGTTCAGGAGTCAGGAGGACTCTTCCCAGAAGGCAGAGGGGAGCCAGGTGGCTGTGTGTGCTGGCGGAACCTGGGAGACAGCCGAGGAGACTTAGGGGTCTATTCACGAAGCTGCCGAAGGATCTGGCCGTAGCTTTGGCCGATCCTTCGGCTAGCTTCGGCCCCAGGACCCCTACGGTTCAGTAGAACCGAAGGGGTGCTGTACGGGCTATTCACAATAGCCCGTACAGCTCCCGAACATGGCCGAGCGGCTCAGTCGAGCCGAACACATATGCATCATTGGCCAGCCGACAGCCTGCTTTTGACAACTGGGCGGAGCCAGCAGTGATCTTACGGCTGGCTCCGGCCACTTGCAAAGAGATCAGCGTCCCTGGTTACCTGCTAACCAGGGACACTGATCTCCAAACAGCTAATTTTCCCTGGCGCCCCGGGTGTCTCCTGCTCCCGGCCACCAAGGAGAGAAACACTGCTGTGTCTTTTTTTTTCTTTATTCTGACACGAGCGATGTCAGAATAGAAAGAAAAAAAAAATTCCCATTGAAATGCATTGGTACATTACTATTGGCTATTTCAATTTG